AATCCAACATCGCGAACGCTACAGTAATTTATGAGGGGTGAAGCAAAGTAACAAAAACCATACGCTGACGAAGAATAACGTTCAACGTCCGCTGTCACCGATCCAGGGAGTATCCAAAAGCAAAGAAAAACTCGCTAAGTACTTGGAACGAATATCATTGGAAGGAAGACCGAGATATGGAGTCGTTGTATTGAACACTGGAACCCTTGGAGGAGAGGAGATGAGAGGTGTAATCGTACTGTGAACTGCTGGGGTTCAGTCTTGATTCAGCTTTTTTGCTTACGCCTCTTAGAGATCGGCGAAATCAGACACGAATCCTGATTTCTGAAACAGATTTTCTCGGTGCAATGGAAACTAATTCGGTCAGATGAATATAGCAAAGAATGATCGATGATTCATATGTTTGCGTACAGGTTTAAGATTCTGATCTTTAACATTTGAACGATTGGACGTCGTCAGCCAGCCTCAGAATGGTTTTATAGACCTGAATAGCCCACGATCTGTGGTAGAGTTAGTAAGCGACCCGTCCTGAATCATAAAGACAGAACCATACCTGACTATTGATCTTACTTATCCACTGTAACTATCTTACTTTCACTTCTCCAAAGTCCATGGATGAAGGAAGGAAGGAAGGAAAACGAGATCCCATATCCCTGGTTGCCTCTCAGCAATCCTTGGCGACTATCGTTATCGTTCGGTTTATTCATTGGTATACTAGTGTCGTCTGTCGGTCGGAGGATGGCGAAGTTGATTCTTGAAGGAAAATCATGTTTAGGAAAAGGAGAGCGAGCGTCATCATGCATGTTTGGGTAAGGAATATTAATACCAGACATGAATGGACCGAGAGAGGGAGAAAGATGACGTGGTACTACTACTACCAGTGGGTTCGATCATTCTTCATTGAGGCGCCGTCAAGTTTTGAATGCTGTGATTTTTGGCCGAGTTGTGTATTTAAGCTGTGAAAGAAAGAGGAAAGTAAACGAACGGATTATAATGTCGTCGAGATAAAAAGCCAAAAAAAAAACTGTACTCGGAGTCAGTGATCCTCTTCAAGGACAGTTATCTTGGAAGGCAAAGAGCAAAAGGCAGTTATTGATCAGTACTCAGTACTCAAGTGAGAGTAAACTTACTTGGTAGTATGTGTACGCGCTCGGAGGGCCCGGTGATGTCTTGCTTTCACGCACCATTCCGTTTCTCCTCTTTTATCTTCATTGATTCTTCTTCATCCAAACGCAAACTGCTCTACCCCGTTTTGTTCTCTCAATATGTCGTGATATGTGAGGAACAAACCAACAGCCCAGTCGTCAGGAATATTGAATCCAGAATGATCGAGCTACCTCACACGAGAAATCAGTGACTAGAGGCATGGTGAATATTGAGCGTTGATACGAAAACTAACCATTAAGGAGGCGAGTAGAGGGTGGACGTAGAGAAGGACAGACGAAATATTTGTGTCGGGAATATTGAGGGATATAGGCGGCATCTATGGTATAACCATGATGGTTCAAAGGCTGGAAGATAGCGTTAAATTCTCCGACCGAGGCCAGGTGGAATCGGTAAGACCAGTCAGTACACACGGGCTCTGCGGCCTGAATCGCGGTAGTTCACTGGGAGACGATAGCTATAGTGAACAGTTCTCAAAGACGTATCCTGATTGAGGGTATGTATAAACATCGAGATCATCACCAATAAGAACGCAGAAAACTGACCATCAGAATTGGATTCCGACTCAAAATCTTGAATGACCAGTCTGATTACGAGTGTTATTAGACAGGGGGAGTGTGCACCGGGTTGATTTCAAGCCTCTAATGAGCGGGACTAGGTTTGACAGTTGAAACAGGTTCCTTTTATATAGACTGGATGATAGAACAGTTTCTGTTACTTGCGGTAATGTTGTTTGGCGTTGTTTACCAAGAGCCTTGTTCCTGAAGCCAAATCAGGAACTCGTGGTGTTTACATGTTTCGCTTTCACCTATCCATCCTCCTCGCTGAGTTCCTCTCTTCGTTCACCAGGATACTAGATATCAATATATGCATTTCAACATTTGCAAGTACCAAGCCCGAGGTATGTGATGAAACCACTCCCCTCAGGCAACGCGTTGTTAACGCTGAACGTCACAGACTCACAGCATAGCCGAACCCGTCGACGCGCTGCTTTCTATCCCGATTCCCGCCTCCCTGTTGCGCTCGAGAGGTCCCTGAATACCCATTGCCGATGTTTGATGTTTGAACTTAAGGTCCCTAGGATAGGATAAGGATAGCGGTCTGCTTGATCACAGCCTGTGATACATCAAGCACACATCATGATATCAATGTGGTACAGATGGTCCTTATAGCACCGCCATCTCCTAAATCTCACACACAACGCTCGGAATACACTATGTCGGAGAATTTATGCGATCATGATATTCCTGGCTGTGAGTTCGTGTTTCGACACTGGACTGGGCAAGGTGGTGGCTGGACAAATTGGTGAGTAGATCCTTTTTACTTCTCGTATGAACTTGTCTCCTTATCGACTGTGTTCGAGGTAGCGTCGTGTCTGTCTTTTGAGGAAAGAGGATACTACTACCAGTCGGTTATTCACAAATCTGCCAGCTACCCTATTTTCTGTGGCAGTTTTATCAAACCCTGATAGCAGACCTTGCTGTCCACGGCTTTTGATCCTCCTGGCCACCCCCCTCTCCTTCCTTCATCCACTCTCTACCTCTTCCGCGTCTTCAGCCATAGTCCACACTCGTTTTACAACGTCAACGACCAACGACGGTTACTCACATTCGACAGCTTCCCTCACACCTAATCACACATATACCGACCTCTATCTACCGTTCTCATACCCAGTGACGGCTCTTACCCTTCCATTCTGCTAGTTCGCTCCTACGACGCTATACACCTCCACTCCATCTCATAGCGATGAACTTCACATTGGACGACACCTCTGCTAAATTGACCTACTCCCCTGGGTGGGGAATTCAAACATCGACGGACCCGAATTTATCTCAGTTCTTTGAAGGGACTTATCATGTAGCTCAAGTCGACGGAGCTAACGTAAACATGAGTATTTCTGGGTCTGACGTTTACATCTTTGGGTCAAAGGGTCCTGGACATGTATGTATACTCTTTTTTTGATTTCTTTCGACACAACTCTTTCCTTTTTTCTCGTTCTTCTCTCCATCTCCGTATCGTCCTTCCTTTCATACTGATCCTCTGCTTTAATCCTTTAGGGCAACTTTAGCGTTCAATTCGACAATGCAGTCATATTCCTCTCCGCATACTCGACCCAAACACAATACCAACAACTTCTATTCCATCACTCGTTTGATCCCTCAGCATCATCTTCACCTCATTTCGTTTCTCTCAGGGCACAGTTGACGAGTAGTGGTGGTGTTGGTGGTGCAGGAGGGATGTGGTTTGATTTTGATTTTGTCACTTTCACGGATAATGAGAATGGGTGAGTTACCTTTCTGAATGGTTCATGGGTGATTTGAAGCTTTGGAAGTTTGTGGATTCTGACTTTGGTCCTTTTGGATAGGAATTCGACTGCTGCTTCGACACAGGTTAATACCATCCCGATACCTTGGGGTACAACTGGGTAAGCACCACTCCCCTCATATGAGCTATTCCTTTTGTCGTATCCTCATCTCCCTCTATTTCTATTTCTTTGTAACTCTTCATTTGTAGAACTTCGGTACCTTCACCGTCTTCCTCGTCATCGTCTGTGGGTGCTGGAGCAACTGGGGCTGCAACGGTCAATACGTGAGTGTCCTTCGTTCCTACTCTTTCTTTTTCCTTTCGAATTCATTCTCTCTTATTTCCCATATAACTCCCATATTCACGTTCTTTTTTTTTCTCGTCTACACAGATCTCAACCCTCTCACACGAACAAAACTTCCACAATAATAGCCATCCTCTTCGGAACTTTGATAGGGCTTGCTATCATCCTATTCATCGTTTATCTCTTTTTGAAGAGGGTTTATGATTCCAAGAGGAATCAGGAGAGGAGTTTCAGATATGGAGAGAGTATGAGAGGACTTGGGATTGGTGTAGGAGGTACTGGAGGAGGAGGAGGAGGAGGAGGAGGACCAACGAGGACTCAATCAAGGTGGAACTTGTTGAGTGGGTTCGGAAGACCTACAACAACAACAACATCTTCTTCTACGAATTTGAATCATCATAACACACATCAAATGACACCACCTCAATCTCCAGCTGCACATCATACATTCTCAACATCCGCCATAGGTGTGAATAATGGTGTTGTTGGTGTTGTTGGTTCGGAAAGGGAAGGTACGGTTCAAACTGAAAGTACGATCATTGGGACTACGACTACGACTACTGGAACGACTACAAGTCAAACTCATACGAATCCTTCTTCAACTTTTGCTTTCCTTTCGAATGCTCCAATTTCTTATAATACGTATTTAGGAGGACTTGGTGGAAGGAAAGGAAAAGGAGATGCTGATTCTTTGAAGACTGATTTTTTGCAGGTTTGAGTTTTTGTTTTGTATTCGATTTCGATTTCTTCTTTTTCTTCTTCTTCTTTTCTTTGGGTATTATTCTTTCATGTTTCCTTTGATTTTTTTTGTCGATTTGTTTGTTGTCTATCTGGATGGACTTTCCTTCCCTCTTTCTTCCTCTTCCTCCTTCCTCCTTTATCCTTCTTTTTCGATGTTTGTGTATGTCATCGATGATTTTTTCTGGATATCATATGATAATATTATATTCATAAGTTTATATGTTCGTTTGTTTATTCGTTCGACTCTATGTTGGTGTTGTTGTATGTACTCGTACTATAGGAGCTATACCAGTCTAAGGCTATTATCATATATGATATATCTTGCCGGTTGTCGTGCATAGATGTATCATAAACACGATCTTTACATATAATACCTACCTACATACTTACACTCGCTCTTCACTTACTCAGTGACTGAGGAAAATAGATTACATTTTCTAATAGTCTACCATCCATTTTAAAAAAAACTCGCAGGTGCTGTAGGTTACGCTGACAGTAGGATTTGAACCTACGCGGGCAATGCCCAAGTGATAATCGAATAATTTGGAACAAATCCAGGAATTCGAATCACTCGCCTTAACGACTCGGCCATATCAGCATTGATATATAAGAGACGTTTGCAAATTATAGCATATTGTGGATTTGAGTTTTTTTATCTCTTCTCGAGGTGCAACTTGAAGGATTCAGAATGTCAGGTACTGCCCATTCTGCATTGAAATTCAATTATAAGTTTGCCTTGTATTAGAAGAGTACTAAAATGGTACTCGTGTAACTATCATCTACTTGGTCATCGCGATTCGCGAAGTTGTTCCCGATGCGACGTTTTGGCGGGTATTACTACTACGGGATACATACTTGACTAATCGTGGAACTTGTCTTTCATTAATGCTTCTAGTGGCCTCCACTGCAGCATCATTCATTGAACGAAACAAATAGTGCTCATTATCACCACCAACAGGTGCATCACTAAATATCCATCCCTTTTCTTTGAATTTTCGAAGAATTTGAAGTACCCATGTTCTACAGTATCCATTCTCGGTGAAAGGTGTAGGTGAAGGTTTCATCTGCCATATCTAATGATTAAAAAAAAAACGAAACAATATCAGTATACAGAAATATTCGAAAACTTATTATGCATCATTACTCACCTTGGATAACTCTTTCAAATCCTTCTGTGGTACCTTTCCAACCAAAACCCCACCCCTATACGACCGACTCGATGAAATGTCCCACTTTTGATGAACTTCAAGTTTCCATTTACCATCACCCTTTGTAGTAACATGAGAAAATGAAACTACTGGATAGTTGTTACCAGCAACGACAAGTCCCCAATGTGATTGTCTATTATTGCCATGTTGATCACGTTGAACAAATTGAATGACTGCTATGTCAAGATCTACTTCAGGTGTAGAATGCGTCGTCCAAGGTACCAAAGACTGTAATCTAATGAAGAAACGAAGTGAAATATGTCAATGATGATGGTACTTTATAGACCCCACAGGATATGATGTGTACTCACTGGGTTGTAAGACCGTGTATCGCACCGCCATTCTTCAGACAGCACCGAGACAAGTTGGCAAGAGAAGAAAGATTACGATAAATGTTGTAAAGATAAACTTGAATGAAAGAACGCCGGTTGTTTGATTCAATTTCATGATGGTATGTGTATGGTAGCGGTATCGGTGGTGGTGGCTATAGAATTAGATGGAATAAAATAAGAACTGTCCAGCAGTGAAGTCTGAATCGAGAAAAGGATGAAGAAAGGATGCGCACCAGGCGTTGACGACAGGCAAATCTAAAAGAAGGACATTTATACTCACTATGTTCAGGCCAGTACCTGAGTCGCCGAAAGTTCATGTTTGGACACCACGCATACGCGAAAACAACTTGAAATGGAAGCTCATAGGTCTTCGGATAGAAGAAGGGGTTTGGTGCACAAAAGTGAGACCTTTCTATAAGGATTATGATGATTATCATCGGGTCTGAACAGGATGAGATACGTACTAATCAATACCAACCAGGTTTCTTAACGTCACCCGATAGTGTCGAATTGTACTCTTTCTCTCTCAATTCGATGATATCAACAACCGGTTTCATAGCATCTTGTTCGCCAACAGCATGTTTATTCTCCCCGTCTTCCACATATTCTCTTTCTGCCCAGCCCCCCCGGTCCCCTCCGCGCTCTGCTGTTTTACCCTGCCCCTCTTCTCCTCGTCTCTCTCAGCCTTCCTCCTGACATCCCTCTCACTCTTCACAACAACACCAATGAAAATTTCTCTCGAAGAACCGAACGGAATGACCACCGTTTGTTGACTTCCACCGCGACATGACGACTGTACCTAATAAACAAAAGACATGGGTATTAACAAGGAGGAATGGACTGTAGCAATATGCTTACTTTATATCCTTAGCAAGCCATACAATAGAGAACTGACCAAACCCAAGTTTTCGTAGGACAACCTATCGACAGTCTGAAAAGGTATCTCCAATCAGCATTGGGTGGTATCCTCCTTCATAATAATCCTCTCAAGCTTATTCTCTTGCCATGGCCCGCTTTCTAAAGGCTATGGAGGTAAATAAGTATCAATGCTCCGAGGAAGTTTCGCTATAACTCACTAGTGTGTACTCACTTTGTTAGCAACACCCGACGTATCTCGAAGCAGAACCAAGATGTAGCCAAGCACCTCTCACGACGACATTTACTTCAGAGTGAGAGTTCAGAAGTATGAATATGGACAAAGTTGTCGCTTTTGCTCCCAGCCTGCGCACTGGCAGTTACTGTTCCCGTGGTTTGACTTCCCAGTCCAATTCGTACTCGATATTGCGTGTCTCGTCTGAAGGCTGTTTTGACATCGAGAATTGAAGGTGAATGTCAAGAATATCAATCAAGCGAGTGGTGTACATACCCACGATTACACGAATTCGACAGAAATACTAATGTCTCATTGAAGACTGCGAAGCCTAAGCTTATGTAAGGATATTGACATTCGAATTGAACTGCAGAGATGGTGGGGGGTTCCAAAAACTTGTGGCGAAGAGAATGCCTATGTACAGTATGGATTTCTTCGAAAGAGTTACGCTCCAGAAATGTGCTCCTCACGGGTTCGGTTTATTATTTGGTCTTATTTACCAAAGGCTTTGTTCCTGACACCAAAATCGGAAAGCCTGTATTGAAATTCGAACTTTCAATTTGAAGTTTCCACACTAGTGCAGTGAATGTACTGTATTTCTAAGAATCACGACGAACCTGCCATGGCCGTCGAAGGTGGATATAAATGACTCCTTTTCGACTTTCAGCATACTTCAAGTCGTTGATAGGAAATCGAATTCATTTGAAATATCACGAAATGGTAGGATTCTATGAAGGTTCAGGCCATGAAGATATCAAAGACGAAGAACGATTACTCAGATCAAACGAACTTACCTGGTACCTTCAACCCAAAAATCTTTCTCCTCTTCTAACAACTCCTCCTCGAGATAATCCACCCAACTCATCTCCAAACACTCCGTCATGCAATACCCCATCTTATGCAACCCACCAACGACAACCTGATTCCCTCCTTTACTTCTACCAGAACCAACGACCAATGCAACAGATCGATCATCTGTCGTGATACGACGAATCGGAAGTAAGTTAACCTCCAAAATATCCGATCCAATTTCCGACCAAAGAGCAGATTCCCAACCTACAGCACCCATCATAGATAGATACAACATATCAAATCTCTCACTCCTCGGGTCAAGAAAGATATCTTCAGAAACCAACGGTCCTCCTTGAAATCGAATAGAAGGTTGAAGTAAATTGATTCCTCGTTTGTCCAAGGAAAATCCAGGTATATCTGAATCAACATTAGCATGTTTCCCACTTAAACCCGGCCATAACCATCCTATAACAGCTTTATCCGGCCATTCCAGGATCCAAGTTTTGAATTCATCAGGAGTGGTAGAAGTACTAGGCGGTAACCTAGAAACATAAAGTTGTCGGTCGAATTTATTGAGATGGGGAAGAATGTAAGGTCGTGTATAATAGAACACTTGAGATTTGACAAGTTTGTTGTAGAAGTGGAGGAGTTTTATTCGAGCTGGTGGTATGTCATTCTGAGTGTGTAGTATGAGGTTGCGCCAGTGGGAAGAGACTCCTTGACAGTGGATTAGAGTCTTCAAGTCAGCGAACGACAGGATAAGGAGGATGAGTTCGACAGGGATGCGCATAACGCCGTTTGACATCACCGTGTTGGGTTAATCGATATTTCGACGTTGGTGAAAGGTACCGTTTTTAATGGTCTCCAAACTTCTGAACTTACGTGTAGTTGAAACGTTGAAACACCAAAATTCCCGTTGTAACCTGAAAGATCGGGTATGAAAGCCACGAACAAGAGAACTTGAAACTTGCAGTGGCTAATTAAAGGTTGCTGGAGAAATGAGAACGATGATGAGAGTATACGATTCGAAGAACACAATAGGAACATACAAGCCATCAATATTGCCACTACTATTTTCAACGAATTTCATAGCAATAATGATACCCAAATTAACAAGGACCGATATTGTATGCGTTCATTATCCTGAAACGCTACAAGTTGACGTCAACTTGCGCTTGCTTAGCAGAGTCCGTCATCCGTCCCCGGCCGATTTTAGAAGTCGAACATTTCCAAGGAGATGGCCGTGAGTCGACAATTCGTGATGTAAGAACACCTGAGTTAGACGTTAAGTTAGTTAAAAGGTTGCTCGTTTCTTTTACTTGACATAGTCACCATCATAAATCGTGGAACTAGTGGCGAAACAACCGTCCTGAATTTGAACGGATATCATATATAAGACATGAAATAACAGACATTATTATTTTAATAGGAAGACTTACGAGTAAATCTCTTTTAAAATCGACAGGACCCCTGTAGACTACTAGTGCCAGTTGAGAAAGTTGACGACCTGAAACAAGTTTCTCATAAGTGCAATATTTAGTCGTAAGAGGAGCTACATGCTTTACATTAACATGTTTGAACGTTTAACGTCTAGGTACTGATTAGGATCACAGAGACTGAACACCGTCCGAACGTTCAGTTGTTGACATGTTCAAGGTGATGGATTCGAAAGTCTCGGTGACCGTGAGTCGTGACTCAGGGATCGACTTCCATCCATGTTTGTCATATTTAGAGACTCTAGAGTTGCATGTCGTCACGGGCGGTATAGTATGGGAGCGACAAGGATCCAACGCAGCGGCTGGTGTAGCAAAGTTAATGTCAAACATGAACATTAACTCGTTCGGAACCCCAAAATCTGAAGAAATCATTGACAGAACGTTGAACATTGATACTAATCAAAGCCAATCCTACTCTTATGATTTCGATGATCATGAGGAACTCGGAGGATGGATCATACTTACCTTTTTCTTGATGAAAGTTAGACGAAGGTGAGAAAAGGGCTTGAATCTGGAACACGCCACGCTTCAACAATCGTTGGTAATTGCATTGCCTACATATGCCGTGTCGTGTAAGTACAGTATACTACTTACTAATACGTCGTATGTCTGGCCGGAGATACATATGGAAGTTGACCGGCTGTGAGTCCATGGTGTCCATGCGTTAGATAGGTCAAAAA